AGCCGGCGAGGGGCGTGCTGGCCGCGGAGCCGGAGCGCGGGCGGCGCGGGCCTGGCCGAGAGCCCGGCCTCCGTGCAGTCGCAGTGCGAGTTGCGGGGTCGGACCTCAGCCGCTTCGGTCTTACCCTGCCTTGTCCTGGGGAAGGACGCGGGCCCAGCGTTCAGGCCTTGCTGCCAGACGGGGAGCGCCAGGCCCGGCAGAAGGCCCGCCTCCGAAGGCAGGCAGCTGGCACGGGGCCCAGGGCTCTGCGGGATGGGAGGCACCTAGCAGGGCTCTGTGGGGATTGGGACCAAATGCAGGTCCCAAGCCAGGGAGAAAGGACTTTGAAGATTTTTGAGCAAGTCTGTCAGAAAAAAAGTAGCTTTTCAGCCAGGCGTGATGGCCCATCCCTGTCACCTCTGGGAGGCTGAGGCAGGAGGATTGCCATTGTGAGCCCCAGGTACTTAGGGAGACCCTGTCTCAAATTTAAAACAAACAAACAAAAAAAGCTGCGGATGTAGATCAGTGCCAAGGCCCTGTGTTCAGTCCCCGATACCGGGGAAAATTTTTATTTTCAGTAAAAAGTTAGTTGATGGTGGTTGTGGTAACAATCAGAAGAAAGAGGGCATGTGGTGCTTTTGTTTGTTGTTTTTTATTTTTGTGGTACTGGGAATTGAACCCAGATCTGAACACATCCACAGCCTTTATTATTTTTTTATTTTTTATTTTTTGGTTGAGACAAGGTCTTGGCAATTTGCGCACGCTGGGCTAGAACTTTTTTTTTTTTTCTTTGGTGCTTTTGAGACAGTGTCTCACTATGCAGTTGAGGCTGGTCTTGAACTCACTTTGTAGCCCAGGCTGGCCTCGAACTTGCAACGATCCTCCTGCCTCAGCCTCCCAAGTGCTGGGATTACAGGCATGCGCCATCACGCTGGGCTCTGGTCTAGAGTTTGTAATCTCTCTGTCTCAGCCTCCTAAGTACCTGGGACTACATTGTGTGACACCAAGCCTGTCTTGGGGATTTTGTTCATAATTAGTGGTGGTGATGAGTTTCACTGGTGTAGTGCTCTTTTTTCCAGGGGTTCTGGGTTGAAGCCAAGGCTTTGTGGGTGCTAAGGGAACGAACTCAACCGAGCCCCACACAGGCTCTGGAGCCCTAGCCGCTGGCCTCTGGGGACAGTGTCTGCACTCATCGCAGCTGTGAATGAAGGCAAGGGTCACCACCCCAGTTTCATGTCAAAGCAGCAGGGCTCAGAGTGGGTGAGCTCAGCCAGCTTTGTGGCAGGGACCCCAGTCTGTGCCTGCCGAGGCTGGCCGCTTCTCTGCTCCCCGCCTGCTAACAGGCTGGCCTGGTCTTGCCAAGAGCCTCGGTGTCCTCATCGGAACCTGAGCTCCCTGCTCGGGAGTTGCAATGCAGGAGCAGCAGGACTGGGTGAGACTGTGTTGATCTGCTGTCTCGGCCTCTTGGGTACACTGGCAGCCAGGCCGACTGCATCTCCTCTCAGCCCTGCCAGGGCCATGTCAGAGCGCGAGGAGCGGCGGTTTGTGGAGATCCCGCGGGAGTCGGTGCGGCTCATGGCTGAGAGCACAGGCTTGGAGCTGAGCGATGAGGTGGCAGCGCTGCTGGCTGAGGATGTGTGCTACAGGCTCCGAGAGGCCACTCAGGTGAGCACCTGGTCCGGCCCAGCACATCTCCTGCACGCTGATGCCCCGCGGTGACCGCGCCTGGCAGGGCAGAGCTGTGTGATCCCTAGGGGCTTGGTGCCGTCTCCTGTGGCAGTCCTGCTGGCTGGCGGGGCAGATGTCACCTCCTGCAGTGAGAAACAAGCACAGAGGGGCTAAGCTGGCACCCAGTCTTCCTCACCGTGCACCCTGGCTCAGGAGTCCCCATCCCTGACTCTGGTTCCTGTCCCCCCAGAACAGCTCTCAGTTCATGAAGCACACCAAGCGGCGGAAGCTGACTGTGGAGGACTTCAACAGGGCCCTGCGCTGGAGCAGTGTGGAGGTGAGCGGTGCAGTGGGGGGCTGGAGGTGGGTGGGACATGGAGGTGACACACAGCAGCAGCAGGCCACGTGCCAGCTGGGAACACCGGGACATGAGCTCTGGCTGGAGCAGTGAGGGAGTTGCTGGCCAGGAGCAGGGAAGGTTTCTTGGAAGAGGTGGACTTAACTGGGGCCTTCCAGCCCCTGAGCTAGGCCTCCTCGAGTGTTCTGAGGGCAAGGTGTTTTCACACTGGAGGCAGGCAGCTTGGGTGTTGGGTGAGCAGGGCCGCGTCTCCTCCCCAGCCACAGCCCTCGGGTGGGAGCTGTGACGGCCCTGTGTGCGCCTTAGGTTCAGGCTGTTCCATTGCTTTCACAGGCCGTGTGTGGCTATGGGTCCCAGGAGGCCCTGCCCCTGCGCTGCACCAGGGAGGGTGAGCTCTACTTCCCTGAGGACCGAGAGGTGAACCTGGTGGAGCTGGCCCTAGCCACCAACATCCCTAAGGGCTGCGCGGAGACGGCTGTCAGAGGTGGCTCCTGGGTGCTGCGGGCGGCGGTGCTGGGCTGGATGCAGCCTGGGCAAGATCTGGAGGGGCAGCGCCCAGGCTGAGGTCCCTCTCTGCCTGCTTCTAGTTCATGTCTCCTATCTGGATGGTAAAGGGAACCTGGCACCCCAAGGCTCAGGTAAGTAAGGGGCCATCGTGCCGTGTGCTGGAGGCCAGAACGTGAGTCTGGGAGGTGGGCTGGGGTTCCTGTGGGCGGTGCCATGGTCCTGGCTGTCCTGTGGGGCAGTGGACAGAGCTGACAGGCAGGGTGGACAGCAGCGGGTGCATGGCCGGCTGTGTCTGAGTGGCTTCTGTGTGTCAGGTGGTGCGGGCTTGGGGGGGTAGGGGAAGGGAGAGGCCCCCACGTCCTGCCCCTCCTGCCACAGTGCCCAGTGCAGTGTCTTCGCTGACTGATGACCTGCTCAAGTACTATCAGCAGGTGACGCGGGCTGTGCTTGGGGATGACCCACAGCTGATGAAGGTGAGTGAGGGTCCAGATTGGCTTTTTTTTTTTCATTCATTCGTTGCTATGTAATTCAGACTGGTCTTGTTGGTGTTTTTTTGTTTTTTGTGGGTTTTTTTGGTCTTTCTTTTTGAGACAGGGTCTCACTGCAATTCAGGCTGGCCTTGAGCTCACTTTGTAGCCCAGGCTGGCCTTGAACACTCAATGATCCTCCTGCCTCAGCCTCCTGAGTGCAGGGATTATAGGCATTTGCCAGCCATCACACCCAGCTTCAGGCTGGTTTTGAACTCACTGCCCAAGCTGGCCTTGAATTTTTCACTAGAGGGTCGCTTGAGACAGGTGATCTTCCTGCCTCAGCCTTCCTAGTGCTGCGATTACAGCCGTGTGCCACCACACCTGGCTTTTATTATGATTTTTTTGGGGATCAAGGTCTTGTTGTGTAGTCCAGGCTGGCTTGGAATTTGCAGTCCCCTTGCCTCAGCCTCTCAAGTGCTGCAATTACAGGTGTGTGCTGCCATGCCAAGTTTCCAACCTTCATGCCCCCACAAAATCCTTTCATTTGCTACATTCTGGTCTTCTCCACAGTGGCTTGTGAGGGGAGAAGCTATTCTTGAAGTGCACTTGTTGTTCCATGCTGATCATGCACAATCAGGGCGCGGGTGTCACCCTCTATAGCTTCCTAATGGATCCACTTCGGGTGTGTGTTCATCTGGGCCCAGCGGGCATCCACATTGTGGCCTTCGTTTCCTAGGCTTGGGCAGGAAAAGAGCAGAGGAAATGGGGCCAGGTTGGGTGCCTGGCCAGGCCTGCTCTGTGGCTCTTAAATCCGTGGCTCTATGCATGGTGTGTCATTTCCTCTCTAGCTGGCCTTGCTCACCCTTCATAATGGCAGTGGTTTGTTTTGGAGGGCTGTGTCCGAGCCAGAGCCTTCCCAGAGCTTTCTGTCTGCCAGGCAAATGCCTTCTGAACGACACCTCCAGTTCCTGTGTCTTCGTGTCCACCCATTACGGTTATTTCCCTTGCAAAATCGGGAGTGCTGCTGCCACCTCTTCCTGCCGACAAAGGATGGCTCCTGGCAGGATGTGGCTTGGTGGTGGAGCGCTGGTCCCAGTAAGAAAAACAAAACAGTGTGGCCCCTGTTCTGGAGGCACAGTGCTAGGAGCTAGCCATGCCTTCCTGGGTTCTGCCTTCATGGCCATGACTTTCATCCAGAGTGCCGGTGGAGAGTCAGAGCTGAGGTGCTTCTACTTTAATGCATTTTCTTTGCCTTGAAAAGTAACGCTAGTGTATGCCTACTGGAGGACATACGTTATAAAAATGCTTTGAGTAGAAAACCTTCTGTTCTTTTACTTGGATGTTTTTCTTGTGTGTTACCTTTGCCTCTTCCAGTGTAAACCTGTGTGTGAACATCTGGTTTTCAGAATTAGCTTTATGGGGGAGTGATACTGGGAATTGAACTCAGGGGTTCCACATTGATTTAGATCCCCAGCCTTTTTTTTTTTTTGGTCTTTTTGAGACAGTTCAGGCTGGCCTTGAGCTCACTTTGTAGCCCAGGCCGGTCTCAAACTTGCAATGATCCTCCTGCCTCAGCCTCCCGAGTGCTGGGATTACAGGTGTGCATCGCCGCTGAGTTAAATCCCCAGCCCCTCACTTTATAGTTACAGAAGGTGTAATGTGTGGTTGCATGTGTGGATTTCTGTAGGTTACATGGCTAGAACTAGCATTGGCGAATCAGGGGTCGGTGTTTTGTGCACCGTACAGGGAGTCCCAGAACAGTGGGGGTTTATCCTTGGGGCCATGGTTCCAGTACATTGTCGGCCCTTCCTTGCAGGTTGCTCTCCAGGACCTGCAGACAAACTCCAAGATCGCAGCTCTGCTGCCTTACTTTGTGTATGTGGTCAGTGGGGTAAGTGAGCACCTGGGGAGGGAGGTGGCCCAGCAGCCTTCAGGGCTCCTCCCGCCCCCTCAGCCTTCCTTCTGCCCACAGGTGAAATCTGTGAGCCATGACCTCGAGCAGCTGCACCGGCTGCTGCAGGTGGCCCGGAGCCTGGTTCGAAACCCACACCTCTGCCTTGGGCCTTACGTGCGCTCCTTGGTGGGCAGTGTCCTCTACTGCGTCCTGGAGCCCCTGGCTGCCTCTATCAACCCCCTGAATGACCACTGGACCCTGCGGGATGGGGCCGCACTCCTCCTCAGCCACATCTTCTGGTAGCACTGAGCCTGGGCTGCTGTGGCTAAGGTGTCAGACAGGGTAGGGTGGGGTTCAGTTACTGTACGGAGAGCATGGGGCGCCGCCTCCATGAGAGCCACTTTGCTGGGGCCTCGAGACTGGGTCACAGGTGTCCCACGTTACCGTCCCCAGGGTGTGGTGTTCCACGCCACACAGTGTGTCCTGGTGTTGTGTCCTGAGTTGGAGCAGCAGCATCACCTCCTTCCCTACCCTGACTATATGTGGCTCCCACAGGACTCATGGAGACCTGGTCAGTGGCCTCTACCAGCAGATCCTGCTGTCCCTGCAGAAGGTGCTGGCGGACCCCGTGCGGCCTCTTTGCTCTCACTACGGCGCTGTGGTGGGACTCCATGCTCTTGGCTGGAAGGTGAGGAGCCTGGCCTTTACTGCTGTGCTGCATAAATGAATGCTAAGGGAAGCTGTGCCTCATGGCGCACACCTGTGATCCCAGCACTCGGGAGGCTGAGGCAGGAGGATGGTTGTGAGTTTGAGGCCAGCCTGGGCTACACAGTCAGCCCTCAGAGTAGTCACATACCAAGACCCTGTCTCAAAAAACGAAAAGAAAACAATGCTAATGGTATGTTTTACCATTAACTCTGAGTATTCTGTTGCTGCCTAGCATAGAGTTCTTGCTGTGAGCCAGGCTTAGTAATGATACTGTGTGCCCTGGGAAGTCTTGGTTCAAAGTTTGAAGCCTCAGTCATTCTTTAATTTTCCCTAATAATTACTTGTGGAAACCCCCGCAATTTCTTGGAAACAGCAGATATTCTCCATAATTGTTTTTTGGCAGGAGGTTTGCAAGTAGCAAGTCCAAGAGCGTTATTCAGTTCTCCTTGCTGTTCCCTGGCTGCTGCCCATGACCTATATGGCAGATGCTGCTGCATCCCTGCAGCATGACAGGGTGCTGCATGCTGCTGGGATTTGTTCTTCATGCTCTGAGATCCACCAAAATGCCTTACACTTTCTAAAGCTTTATTACTCCAGTATTTTATTAAATTAAGTTACATAGCTACAGTATATTCAGGGTTTAAACTATAAAAAAACCAAGCATTTATACAGGCATTTTTCTGGTCATATTTGAAATGTGCAGTTTTTCACAACTTGAGGGTGCCATAGGAACAGAATCTCTCTGAATTTCAGGGTCCACTGTACCTTGACTTTCTGTGTGTGAATTTTTTTTTTTTTCTTCTTTTGGTCTTTTTGAGACAGGGTCTCACTACGCAGTTCAGCCTGGCCTTGAGCTCACTTTTTAGTCCCGGCTGGTCTCAAGCTCACAACAATCCCCCTGCCGCAGCCTCTCGGGTGCTGGGATTACAGGCATGCGCCACCATGCCCGGTCTGTGTGTGGATGTTTTATCCCGTCAGAAGTCCTGCATGGTGGAAGCAGTGCCCCCTACTTCATAAACCCTTGGGCAGTCCACATTATCACATCAGGAAACACTCAGGTCCTGTAGTATTTAGCCATTAAGGTTTTTGCTAAATAGCTTTTTCAGATCTGTAGGTATCATCTAACAGTTTTGTGCCTTAGTTGTGTTAACGTCACGTGTATGTTAATGGGGTTTTCTGCTGAATCACACTTGCATAACTGCAGTAGTTGTTACTGCTGAGATTTTTATTGGAAATTTTTGGGACTCTATTAGCTTTGGGAAAAAAGCCATTAGCTTTGGAAAAAAGATCATTAAGTCTTTGAACATGAACAAGTCGTGTATGTTTCATTTTTTTAAGGAGCTCAGTCTTCTAGGATGTTTCATTCTCCTGAGAACCTATCATAAGTTTATTTTGTTAGCGGTGCTGGGGTTCAAGCTCAAGGCTCCATGGGTACTAGCAGGTGCTATACCAAAAAGCCACACCTCTACCCTCCTTTATTAATGTATTCCTAGGTTCTTGCTACCCTTTGATGCTGCTGTAATGACTTCATGGTGTTAGTTTGCAGTTGGTTTTCACGTTACTGATCCAGCCACCTTTTTTTTTTGGTTGTTTTTCTCTGGTACCGGGAACTGAACTCATGATCTTGCGCTTGCCGGGCAGGTGCTTTGCCACTGAGCTAAATCCCCAGCCCCTCAGCCACCTTTCTAAACATTGTAAATTCATTTGGAGTTTTAAAGGAGATAAACATGTTTAGGTTTCTTTTTTTTTGGTACCCCCGACTTCAGGCTTGCCAGGCAGGGGCTTGTGCCGCTGAGCTATTCCCCCCCCCCCTTAAAGAAGGTAAACATATCAAATTCAAGATGACCACAACATTTTATTTTGTTGTCAGGGTCAGTAATACCATTGTACATAACAGTGGACATCTACTTCTTTTCCATTTCTTTCCCCCAGAGACAAGTCTTGTCTCAGTATGTATTCTGCTGGCCTCAAACTCTCGATGATCCTCTGCCTGAGGCCTCTGAGTGCTGCTATCATAGATGTGCACCCCCACACCTGGCTGTCTTCCAGTTTTAAAAGCGTTAAGACTAGAGGTGCAGCTCAGCGGTAGTGCACGTGCTAGTATTTGTGAGCGATCCCAGCACTAAAAAAAGAAAAAAAAGCCAGGCGGAGGGATCGCCAGTTTGGGCCAGCCTAGGGTACTTAGTGATTTAGCAGGACCCTGTCAAAATAAAAAGGGGAGGGCCGGGAATATAGCTCAGTGCAATCGCACCTGCCTGGCAAGCACGAGGTCCTGAGTTTGATTCCCGGTACCCCCCCAAACAGAAATAAAAACAAAATAAAAGGGGGAGCGGGGACATATCAAACAACGGTCTCTGAGGGAGGGCAGCCGCGCTCACCGCCCCGTCCCGCGCAGGCCGTGGAGCTCGTCCTGTACCCGCACCTGTCCACCTACTGGACCAACCTGCAGGCCGTGCTGGACGACTACTCCGTGTCCAACGCGCAGGTCAAGGCCGATGGGCACAAGGTGTACGGCGCCGTGCTGGTGAGTGTCCCGCCGCCCCGGTGAGTGTCCCGCCGCCCCGCCCCGGCCCGGCGCCCGCTCACCAGCT